GTAATTGTGTGAAGCGCGCCGGGCTGTCCTACGCGCGTAAGACAGCCCGATGCACGCTTATTCGCGGATCTTTGGTAATTAAAATCTCGGTAACTATTGCAAATCTAGCAAAATGGTATAGGACTTTTCACCTCAGTTTTATTCCTTCTACCTGTTTACAAGAGATGTTAAACCAATTTTGGGACACCCTGTATACACATATAATACATTTAGAATATATGTTTGTACTATATATTAGGTTTTTAATACATACACTTTGATATCGCACATATATATAAAAGTTTATTATTTGTTGCAGGATGTAGTATTAACTGTTTCTCTAAGATAAGTATATCAAAATAAATTTATATGTCTATTTAACTCAGTTCACAGTAGTGAATCCGAACTTATGTACTAAACATACAATGTCCCGTAATGATGAGTAACCTGTGCAAGGAGTGAAAGAGAGTAAAATTTTAAACAAGCAGTTCATTTTTCATTCTTGGCTTAGACCATTATTTATGTACCGAGTTTTAAATATTAAAGTTCCCCAATGAGACGGCGCGTATACGAAGTATGCAGGAGCGTCGCTCATTGAGCTACTCCTTGCACTTGTCACCCCCGATTCGATTTCTTCTGTTACCCCTTCATTCTACTATGTCACACTAGATACTACATGAAAAAAAAAAAAAAACCAGGTAGAAATTAATCATCTAATTAATTTATTTCAAAAAAGTAGTGATACATTGAACACAATTTATGAATACATAACTAATTAATGTTAATCGTGTCTTTTTACGTTTTTATTATTTACGTTTCTATTATTTAACTAGAGTAATTTAAATTAGAATTACTTATTTATTTATAAACAAAATAAATTATTTTAAATAATAATTACTCATCTATTTATGTATATAAGTTATTTCTTTAAATAACAAAAACGTAAAAAAACACAATTAACATTGCTTATTTATGTATTCATTAATTTTGTACAATGTATCACTACTTTTCTTAAATAAATCAATTAGTTGAGTAATTTCTACGTGTTGTAATTATTTATTCAAGTATTGTCTAGTGTGACATAGTAGAATGAAGTTTTACCAGAAGCAATGTAATCGGGACAAATGTAAGGAGTAGTACAGCGCGCGACGCACCTGCATACTTTATATACGCGCCGTCTCATTGAAGAACTTTAATAGGTAAAAACTCGGTAAATAATGGTGTAGGCCACACTTGAAACAGGAACTTTTAAATTCCTTGTAAAAGGTCAAATTTCACTCCCTGCAAGTTTAACTACTCATTCAAAAACACGCTGTAGACGAAGCTTTGCTGATTTCAACGACATCCAAAACTGCATGCAAGAATATACACATAAATACGAAAGCATTTAGTATCAGAAAATTTTATGTAACAAACCAGACAAATAGAAAATTTTATGTAACAAACAAGACAAATAGAAAATTTTATGTAACAAAAAAGACGAAGAGACAATAACATATAAAACTTTACGGAATAACATTGTATCACGCAACATAAAAATATTGTTCTTTTTGCACAATTTTAAATCTTAAAATAAAGAAATTATTATCCAACAATTATCTGTGCAGCAATTTTCAGAAAACTACTTGTGTGTAAAGAGTGTGTATGTCATGCGAAACTCCACTTTAAATAAAATTTTCACGAAAATGTATTTCAAATACAACTGCGAATCAAACAATTATGAAAAAATATTGCGGAATATTTATTACGCTAATAATACTAATATCTGCGCATGCCAATTTTTTTTTCATAACCTAACATAAACAAAGTATCACGAGAGAAGACATTTGCACGCGCTGATCGCAAACATATATATTGCAACAACCGAAATAAAGCGTGATATCGTTATTATGATTACTACAGCGAGCGAATTTCATAAATTAGCAATCAAAAGATGTGATAGAGCGGTACGAGACAAAACAGCGGACATTAATGCAAGTATAAATTCGCGTTGTATAGTTTGCGTAGGCTAGTCTCAACCCTTCACGAGCTGATGTATCGAGATGTAGTGTGCGAAATGGCAGCGCGCGTGCTGATCGCTACTTAAATAACGAGTGTGTAACAGTAAACGCGTCTTTATCAAGATCACTTTCAATCTCATGTACGCATCTTTGTTTTATCTAATTTGTTTTACTCGCAACTCAAGTTTGTGTAACGCGAGTTTCCCGACTTTCCTATCGTAAACCGATTACCCTGTTAGGTTTTAGTTTCTTTCTATTCTTCTTTAAGTGTCCGATCGTATTCGCTTACTGGACCATCTAAATGCTCGGAATCTATTTGCAGAGAAACCATTTGCTTTTTCATTAGCATCGCATTCAGAATCGATGTGTAACAAAGTACAATGATTTCAATAATTGAAAAAGAAATTCGACTTACGACCGACCGAATGTGAATTTTTATGAATAGGCATTGAAAAAGTAGAATTAAAAACCAAGTTGAGGTGTTATTATATTTTGTTTTTTTCAAATAATCGTCACAGTTATTTCACCATATTGTTACTTACATGTAACATATTATCTGTCTTCCCTACACACCAAGTCACTATACAATAACATTTCTACCTATTTATTATTATACCTTGGACAAGATCGTGTTTACGTCTTAGGTTTTAGTTCCGTTTGCGATAACATATCAACGAGCTAAACGTTTAGTTTTCTTTTGTGCTCTTACGTATACACATCGTGTTCTTTGTAGAAATCTTCTCCGTAAATGATTCCTTGCTCAGTGTTTGTCAAACGCCACACGAATGTAAATATATATGTCTCAGTTCAAAATGTTTACGCATAATGATAAAGATTTGCTCAGATTACGAGAAACAGAAGAATTTCGAACAGTCTATTGATGATATTACCGTAACTAGCAGAAAACGTTTCGTGCGCAAAGTAAGGATAATATACAAGGTGTTCGACAATTATTTAAAAATCTCTCATAGACAGATCGAAGGAGTAAAATAGAGTCGAAAAGTGAAACTGAACCATTTTCTTCTATTACATATATATATATATATTAAAAGAGGAATTATTGAATAACTAAAACCAATCAACGCCGACTTTTAGCTGGGCGCATGTCAGCGAGACGCGCGGAGCAATCACGCACACCAGACGCGCGGCTCACTGAAATCCGTCCGGCTAAAAATCGGCGTTGATTGGCTTGATTTATTCAATAATTATTACTTTATTATATAAAATAAAAAAAATTAAGTCAAGACTTTTTGACACAGTTTTACTCCTACCTGCCTCCAAAAGACTTTAAGGTAATTGTCGGACACTGTGTATATACACTAAAGTATACTTAAAGTTCTCTTTTACGTAATCTCTTCCTTGCTGTGTTTGTTACTTTCTTTCTGTCTATCCTCAATCTTCTTTCTTTTTTTTTTCAGTCTGTTTATCTTTCACTCAATTTATCATATACCTTTTGTATAATAATGCGGGTTGAATATTTATAAAACTGTACATTTTCGTCATTGCGTTCATACGATTGTGCCACGTGCAAAACAACTTTTCAACGTAAGTGAAACCAAGTAAATTTTGTACGTTACTTTTGTACATTATTATCCTAATCTACGTATATATAACTATTTTGTTAAGTTTTTGTTACGGAAACAATTTTGAAAGAAAGAATTGTCTGGGCCTATTAAATTAACAAAAGGATTTGTAGTGAAACTAACAAGTAG